CTCTAGCGTTACGTTTTTTACTTTTATATTTAAGATATAACAATATGAATCTCTTATGAAATATATTATGCTCTAAATAGATGTGATCTTTTTTGTGTATATATATTATTAAAATAAAAACTGAATATTTAGCATCGACGTCATATATATATATATATATATATATATATATATATATATATATATATATATATATATATATATATATATATATATAGGTTGTATTTGCAGAAATATTTCAACAAATAGAATTTAGTGATTGTGAGTAAAGTTAAAATAATTATTGATTTTGCTTAAGACTTAAGGCGGCGAGATTTCGAAGAAGAGAATGGCGTGCAACAACGATGATCTTCCTAGAGTGAAATTGTCGGGCACTTGAGGGTTGTCGTACAATTCGCTTACTCAAAAGAGATTATTCGAGTTATAAAAACACCCATTTCATTTTCTTATCAGAAACAAAAATTATTTGCTAAGAAATTCGAGTTTATATTAAAATGAAACCGAGTTTCATTTGGAGTTCTAGTGGAAGCTAGAGGTCGTTCGGGAAACGGGAGGTTTAGCACTCCTTTGGATATAAAGATGTAATTGTGTTACAAAGTTTCTCCAAGAATCAAATCGATGTAGATATGATATATCTATGAAAAAAAAATTAAAATATTTCGAATTTAATTTCGACCTGATCCTTTCGATTTTCACCCTTAGGTACAGTTGTTGTACGCATGTTGTTGCCCTTGAGCTCAGTGGAACATGTGAATAAGCGTTGGCGTTACAAATACTATATGGGGCCGAATTTGAACATATTAATATTAGATTTATGAAATTATAATGAACTATATATATAGAAGCATATAATTCAATAATTGACCCGGCCCGTCGCCCCAGCCCTAAAACCGGGCCGGATTTTTTGACTCATGCATGGCCACCTAGTCTTCGTCGTCATCTGGGAACTGTGTCTGTAACGGCTATATTTCTCTGCTGCACTATTATTAACTATGTTTTTTTTTTACGTATATTGTGCCCATCCTATTACCTATATATATATATATATATATATATATATATATATATATATATATATATATATATATATATGGATACAAACGAAACTATTGTAGATTAGGTTACTGTTCTTGCAGAACTATTTTTTTTTTCTCATTTATAAAATTTTCAGTTACTTTTCTACTGTTTTTCTTTATCTTTAGGGTAAATTATGGTCAACCCCTTGAGTTACGGTCAAATTACAAAATATCCCTCTCACGTTTGGTTAATTACAACTATTGCATTAACTATGTATTTTTTTACGAAAAGACCCCTCTTTGCAGTTGGTATGAACGTGTAAAATAATACATAGTTGAAGGGTATTGTAATTATACATACAAAAGATTTTTTTTTTTCGTAATTTGATCTTATTTTTTAGACAGGCTATAATTTAATTTTTTTTATCAGGTTTCTTTTGGTTATGTCACTTCCCAATTCTTTTGATTAGCTCGTTTCGACACTAAAATAAAAATATCTGGAATTGTATTTACATAGTGAAAATTGATAGGTCACAACCAAAAAAAAAATCTCTAGATGTTGATTTTCGACTTATACGATAACAAATTTGAGATAAATTTATACTTTCACGATTCTTGAATTATGTACATCTCGAATTAAAAATAAATAAATAAATTATGCTTTTCGTGTTGTTCAACACGGATCGGAACCCAGTTTTAAGTTTATCTCTTCTTCTTTTAATTATGTGTTGTTTAACACGGAATCCGGAATCGCAAATAGGTATTACGTGCTGACCAACGCGGAGTAACCAATTTGCTGGAAAAATATTATTGAGGTATTTTAAATTACGAGATTCATTCGATCAATATATTGTTTGTTATTTGAACATTACCTTGTGCCCGTTTGAGAAGAAATCATCCCGAAAAGGTTCGTTCAAAACTGTCAGAAGTTTTACTTGCTTGTATAAAAGGAGTAATTTAAGGAGAGTTAGATGATACACCTAGTTATTACCACCAGATTGATTTAAACCGTAGATTTAATAAAATAATTATCCACTAAGCACACATACACATAGGTGTGTGTGTGATTATATGTAGATCTACAGTTCAAATCAACTCAATGTAAATAACCATATGTCGCATATAATTTCCTGTAATTTAACCTTTTGGACCAAAATTTCAACTATAGGACAAATAATGATATAAACATCTTTTATATATATATATATATATATATATATATATATATATATATATATATATATATATATATATATATATATATATATATTATAGAGATTAAATTAAGCGGCAAAAGTGTAAGTCCTTGTTTGGCAGAAAATGGTTATATTCCAGTCTGATTGGAAGCTACTGTATTTTGATATTATTGAATCCAATAATAGTGAGTGGTCCAAAACAAATCAAAAGTCTGAAGCTGGAGACTCTCAGTTTTATTATTGTGCCAGCTGTCACCCCCCACCCCACATCCAAACGTTGTCGTTTTTGCCTTGGTGACTGTTTGGCTGTTTGCTAATTAATATTTACTTTTGAATTGGCCTCCAAATAGTATTATTTATTTATTTATTTTTCCTTCAAACAAACTTATTTATTCTTGGACTAAATCTCCTTCAAAATTGGTTGACCTACATTATTCTTTATTTCTTTATTTTAAGGTAATAATAATAATTGTTCCATGTATTTCATGAGTGTAGCATCAAATAAACCGCATGCTTCAATGTTGATTAAATTATTTTTTTTGGTGATTTTCGTGATTTAGTCGACAAAATTGCTCACTGGGAAATGTCGAGTAAAAGAAAAATTAATGTAAATGCAACCGATTTGTTTGTATAAAAATATAGAAAATTAATCGGATGATTATTAACTGTTAATCTGCACATAGATCACACACACACTCATATTTATATGTGCTCAATGAGAAGTTATTAAAAAACGGCCGGTGTATTTTATTAGGTGTAGCATCTTAACGACAGATCGAAGCAGAACGAAATTTAGTAAAATTACTTAATCACTAATCAACTCAAGTTACTAGAAAACAAAATTGTTGTCCTAATGAGACAATTATATAATCCCATGCATTGTTTTATTTGTATTGGCCAAAGTTATCAATATCTAATATTTAAAAATGAATTATTATATAAAATATCGATAATTTTTTTTTATAATTTTGTATAATAAATTTATAATTAAACACCAATAATAATACTATTATTTAATTTAAAACCTCCCAATCAATGAAAATTGACAAGAGATGGTGAACAGCTAATGGAATGCAATAATTGTAATATTCAATGTATTGAGACATAATATTTTTTTTAAATAATAAATACCAAGAAAAATTAAAATAATAATGACAGCTATATATGAACACAATTTATATTCCAATAATCCAATGTAAGAAAAAGACATGTCTTGTACAAATACATGGAGGAACAAATGTCAACATATATCTCCAAAGAATCATTACATTATAAATAAAATAAAATAACATGAATTACAAAAATAAATAATAAATGAGAAAAAATAATAATTATTGATCATCTTCCTTCAATTGGCTTCCAATGCTGTGTGTATATATCATCATACAACAATACATGCATGTACAAGTGCACCCCCACCCCCACCCCCACCCCCACCCCCACCCCAAACCCCAAACCCTAATAGGTTTAAAATCGATTTAAAGTCGACGAAGGAAAAAAAATACAACGAGAGATGTGTTCGAATTCCACCATATGAATGAACGAATGAATAAAACGAGCAAAAGGGAATTAAGCTAATATTGTTTCTTGAAATTCCATCGGCATTTTGGGGTGTGGTGTGTGTGTGTGTTTTTTTTCCTAACGAGATTATTATCCAATAAGAGATCGCCGTACTAATAATAATCCCTTGTTCGAATTCCGTTTTGCATTTGCATGATTTTTGTTAAATACTGTAATGCCTCACCGTGGACTCAAGAACCTCGTGACTCGGGCAAACGATTTCTTTCACTCGGATGCCCTTTCTGTATATCTTGAATGTCGGCACTATTCTAACATTCTCCGCTTGAGCAATTGCCGGACTTTCTTCAATATCAACCTGCGGTTTACGATTGAAAAAATAAATAAACCAGACATAAAAATGTCGAAATAGACAAAATTCGTGGATTCTGATTAGGCGGGGTGTAATTGGCACTTTCGGGAAAAAAAAAAAAAAAAAAAAAAAAAAAAAAAACCAATCTTTTCTGGAGTGGAAAACTAGTTCTAATTCCGTTCCCAAAAAAAAAAAAAGAATTGCAGTAATTAAAATGAAAAAACGTGTTCCAAAATCAAACAAATTTGGATCGGAATTGGCGGAATTCGGAAATTCCATTTTTTTGTCACCTGTAATATAAAATACATTGCAACTTTGGGAAAGTAAAAGGATTTTTTGGGAAAAATTGCCAAAAATTGAAATTGGACCGGAAAATCGAAATCTAATATGCATTCCATTCTGTTCCAAAAAAACATTCGGAAAAATCGGAATCAAAACGTTTGGAATTCTGACAGTTGAGAAGGTTGGTTTTACCTTGAGAAAACTAATGGATGGATATCGGGTGCATAATGTATCCAAAAACGGAGATATTTGTTTGCATTGTACATTGGAACACGATTCGAAATGGACAACAGTTGCACCTGCATTTTCCAATTACGAATACAAGTTTAACTTTTTCGTAGACCCCCCAAAAAATGGAGCTGCAAAAAAAAATGAGCACGAATAAAATCTTAAAAAAAAAAACAATTACCAGACGAAGAAATTGCAGATTTGAACTGGTCGATTCCAGAAATAGACTCCACTTCGCCACCGAATTTCATATTAGATACATCTTCTCCACGCGATTTTTTCAGCGCAACTTGCGCGTGGAACAGTGACTCAGCGACTTCATTATCATTCGGTAGTTCCCTTCTCAAAACCTCGTAATCTCTCACAGCTTCGCTCCATCGCTCGAGCTATGTATAACGAGTAATTAATTCAAATTAATTGCAATCTAAATAAATTTAATTTTTACTTGGACTAACAGATACTCCTTGTTTCAAAATACAGTAGAACCTCGATAAACAAAAAATACTCGATAAATTATTAACCTCGCTTAAATAATAATTTCTTTCGGTCCCAACTCGGTATGAACATACTAAATTCTAGGTTCGATAATTTAATATTTCGCTAAATTAATAGAATTTTGCTAGTCCCGACTGTATTAATTTATAGAGGTTTAACTGTAAACGTCTTTTTTTAATGGAAAAGTCCCAAATTGCCCTTTACGAACCTTGGCAAAAGATAAATTAGCTGTACAAATTAATGAGCTTGAACAATCAATGATAGAGGGCAAAATTGGCAAAAATATGGTAATATTAAGATAAGTTATTACCTTGGTGTTTGAAGAAGCCCTTCTGAGAAGGGCTTTGATGTAACTAGGCTGAAAACGGAGGGCTTGGTTGCAATCATCGACCGAGCGGGCCCACTGGCCGAGCTTGAACCAACAAGCTGCTCTATTGCAATAAAGAACTGAGTTCGAAGGATAAAGCCGTAGGCCTTCGCCGTAAGCTGAGCAAGCCTCGGTGAATCTTTCCGATTTGAACAAGTCATTTCCACGAGCACGTGCTCGACACACTAATTTCACATTGTTTATTAGATTTGATATTTCGATGTTGTGGGGGTCTATGTGTCCGGCTTTTTCCACAGCTGTTAGAGCACCCTCGAATCTGGAAAAAAACAACAATAGGGATGAAAATCAGACGGATCGAAAATAGCACTTTTGGAAAGAATAAAATCCAATTTATTTTCGGAAGTGAAAAATTAATTGAAATTCTATTCTACAAACAATTGAAAAAATCGGAAATATTTGGATCGGATTCCGCGGAATTCGAAAAAAATAGTTAGTCACCTATAATATAAAATACATAATAATATTGATATTAAAAGTGCGAGTTTCTGAAAAAAAAAAATCGAAATTTCGGAAATAAAAATCAGATCGAAAATCGGAATCTAATAAGTATTCCAATTCCGTTCCAAAAACAAAATTGGAAAAATCGGAAATCGGAACTTCTGAATTTCAGAATTTTCATTTTTTTTATTTACCTAATATGTAATATACATAGTAATATTGATATTATAAGAGTTATTTTTGCGGGAAAAAAATTGGAATTCTCGGAAATATGTTCGGAAATCAAAATCAGATCGAAAATCAAAATCTAATATTGTATTCCAATTCCATTCCAAAAATAAATTCAGAAAAATCGAAAAATCAAAACTTTCGGAATTCGGATTGAAAACTAGCATTCCGAAATCGGAAATTTTTCTTTACAATTTCCACCCCTAAATAAATAAATAAATAAAAACCTCATCGTAACTCACCTTCCTCTAGACAACTCAACCTGAGTTCTAACGAAAAACAAATACGCTTCACACAACATCCCAAAAATCTTTGCCGGCGGATTAGTTGAGCTTACTATAGATGCCTCGGATTTCGATACACGTGACATAGCCAACAAAGCATCGTCTAGTTGGTGTAGATTCAAATGAGCTTCTGCTCTACATGCAAATAGCTGCAAAATTCAAATACAAATTCAATGTGAAATATTTTTCTTCGGGTTATTTTTTTTTTTCCATTTATAGAGAGAAATTAGGAAGTGTTGATCGGACCTGAGGCGAAGCATCGGCACAAGATGCAATGGCGGAATCGACTTCCCTTAACGTGCTTTTCCAATCACCGATGTTTCGGGAATCGGTGCAATTGTTAAGATGCTTTTCCAACGAATGCAATTTTTCCATCTCTACGGGATCTGGTTGATGCCCCGAGAGATAAACGTGCTTCCTCGCATTTTCAACCTGCCCTAAACTGCGGATACCCTTTGAGGAATTAGATTCGTTTCCACTTAACGGAATATTAAATTCAAGAAATACGAGACGAATCTAAGAATAGCTTCAAAAATTAAAGAATTTTCATGTCAATAGATTCGTATAAAGCTCTCACTTTCGATTAGTTTTAGACCTAAATAGTGGGCCTATAAACCAAGGAAATCACGAAATCGAAGAACCAAAATGTACCGCAAAGAATATATAATGTGATTAGCCACGACAAAACGAGCAGTATAAGCCGTTCCCGATTTCGCATAATATAAACAAAACCCAGTCGAGCCAATGCAGATCGATGCTTGTACAATTTCAAAACCAAACGAACATCGACATTCACAAGCACCAAGATTTGTCTTTTTACCAATTTTTGTGCGCATTTTCTATTTTCCTCGATTTTCAAAATCGAGAAACAGTTATTTCTCATCCACACACTACGCAACGACAACAGTTACGAAATCGATTTGACACGATTTTGATTTAGAAACACAATAAATGAGCTTCAAATCAACTAATTCGCAGCCTTTTCTAAATCAAAACCACGTAAATTATCGACTACTCTAGGCCCTTCTCGGATTTCAGCGTTATCAATTTGAAATTATTATGTCGGCAAAATTAGAAAAGAGATTCGTTCGAACACAAAACGCAAAATCAAGATTCGAAGCTTAATTAACGAGAAACTCACCTAAGAAACAAAGATCCCAATCGATGGTGCGCCCTCACATAACCCGGATCTAACCTAATAGCCTCCTCGCATTCTCGCACCGCTTCAAACAGCCGCCGCAGCCCCATTAGTGCCGCCGCTCGATTGAAATGGTAGGCGGCATTGCTCGGCGAAATCGCGATGGCCTTCTCGTAAAGGGTCAAAGCCTCCGCGAAATGGCCGTTCTTGTAATTATCGTTCCCCATTCTCTTCAATTCTTCTGGATCATTGCTGCTGCACATTTCCATCTTCTTCTTCGGTTCGATTCTGGAGTAATTTGTGGGGCCACTGTCGGAACTGGATTTGGGTAGCAGACCGCCGCGCATTATGCTGCCGTGGCCGTAGTTGCCCGAGCCGGAACCGAGAATGTCGGGCTTGGTTGACCGGGGAGTCATGCCGGCTTTAAGAACCCGGCCGGAGGGGCAGATGTTTCCGGTGGGGACAACGTTGGCGGCGGGAGAGGTGACGGATCCGGAAGAACCGGAGAAAATCAGATGGTGTGACCCGCACGAGCGCGACCGGGTGTGACCCGGTTTGAAGTTGCGGGGCGTGGTGGGGGAGCTCTTGACGTAGAGCTCCCCCGAGTGGTTCGGGCTGCCCGAATCGGACTTCCTCGGGATGTGCGGGCTGGGCCCGCCCGACGTACGGCCCGTCGCAGATCCCGATGAACTGGAACTGCTACTGGTGGTGGCGGCGGAGGCGGAGGCGGAGGCAGAGAGCCCGCCGCCGGTTCGTGGACGGAGCGGCGAGACGGGCGAGCCCAGATCGAGCTCCCTGAAGTCCGGCTTGTCGACGTTAGCTCCGACGTGGGTTAACGTGTTCCGCAGCCGATCCGACAGCGCTTCCGCCCGTGCTTCCGCCATGATTTTCCCAGTATGCAACGACATTTTCAACACAGACCTCTGTTTCTCTCTCTAGTATAAAATATAAATGTGTCTATGTATATAACCAGTAGTATGTAAGCATTACAGTAATGTAAACAATGAGAAATAAAAATAAAAAAAATAATAATAAGAGGGGATACAAATCGACGGAGAAGGGGTTGAAATGAAGAGATAGAGAAGGGGAGATGGGGATCTCGTGATTTGAAAAGAAAAGGGCCGAACCAAACCAAAGAATGAATGAATGAATGTGAATTGTTAGAGAGAGAGAGAGTTACTAGTTACTACTACTACTACGAACTGGTTTTCTCTCTTGTCTAGCTAGAGAGAGAAAGTAAATATGGTTGGTTAATGGAGGAGACGATAGTAAAAAGAAAAGCTACAGCTTTTCATTTGCCATCCCTCCACTCCAATCAATCCTCTCTCTCTCTCTCTACTTTCTCTCTCTTGTTTCTCTCTGTATGTTACTTTCTCTCACCTCAACAGCTGCTTCACGAGACACACAAAAACAGGTACTAGTATTTCTATTCCTCTCTCTCTCTCTCTCTCTCTCTCTCTCTCTCTCTATCAAATCCATTAATTATTGTTTTCAACTCCTCTTCTCTCTCTCTCTCTCTTGTTTCTCTCTCTGGACATTATTGTTGTTATTATTGATTTCTATTAAACTCATGTTTCATTTGTGATTTTTTTTTTTTTTTTTTTTTTTTGAGAAAATATAAATATTATTGGGATACTACACCACAACCCATTCTCATTTATTGCCTTTACTTTTATCTTATTTCATTTTATTGTTGTAATTTTTTTTTTTTTTTTTTTTTACCTCTACTACAAAATCAACATTTCTTATGTGCAATATTTGTTGTTTTAGTCCCTCATGGGATGGCCTAGCGGTTGGAGCAAGAGAGCTTGTGTCAATTGACCCAAGTTCGAATCCCCTTGCCAACGGTCGCTAGGTCGAGCTTGTCACACATGGTTAACCTAGTGTGGTTTACATCTCTCGTATAGTTTGCAAGCTATTATACGAGAGTGTAGGTTTACCCAGTGCACCTATATGGTTGGCTGCGGGTTACTGCATTACCAAAAAAAAAAATTATTTGTTGCTTTAGCAATATTCATGGTTTTTTTTTTTTAATTTCAATAATTTATTAATTAATTTAAAGTACTTTTGTAATGATGACGCGGTGTCTCATCACCCGTTTGATTAGGAAGATTAACCATGATTAATTAAATAATTTAACTGTGCTTCATGTTTTATATCACCGGTAACTTGCGGAACGTCCTGCAAATATTAAGGGTTTCGATAAAAGAATTAGATTTTTATAGATTATTTAATCTTATCTTGATTAATTTTATCTTAACAACCAAACGAGACTTTATCCTACCAATCGGATCACATCTTGCCCTGCATGACAATTATTATTATATCATAGTAATAAAAATCTATCCACTTTTATTTTGTGTTATTATTATTATATCAACTTATTTTGCTTGGATTGAAAAAGTAATGGAAAATGTACTTACTAAACCAAAAGGTATAAATAGAAATAGAATAGACATTTATTGAGAAAGTAATCTTTATTTCTATTATTTTTTTCTTATGCTAGTAATACTAAATGCATGTCAAGATTTTGTAAACCAAGACTCGTTTTCACTATCCACTTTTTTTCACTAAATACAAAATTCTTGTTAAAAAGTCAATAAATTCATAATTGTAGCTTTTATTACCCAAACACCCCTTTGACCTGTATATAATGTTTCACATATTTTTAGTATTTGATATCTCAAATATAATAATTGTTTCTTATTTTTAATTTATCTCTTTAGTGAAACAAAATCTTCATATTGTTTTATTGTTATAAGATAGCAATATATCATAATTTGGTTTACTTAATTTTACTCTTTACAATTACTACTTTTTTTTAAATAAAGGTAGTCAACTATATAGGTGCAATGACTAAATGTATAATTTCGTGTAATAGTTTACAAACCTTACGAGAGACGTAAATCATACTAGGCTAATCATGTGTGACAAGCCGATCTATCGACCATTGACAAATGGATTCGGGACTGAAAAAAATAATATACAGTAGAACATCGATAAATTAATTACATCGTTTAAATAATAGTTTCTTTTGGTCCCAACTCGTTAAAACCAACTAAATTATTAGTTCGATAATTTAATATTTCTCTAAATTAATAGAATTCTACCAGCTCCGATTATATTAATCTATAGAGATTTAACTGTACTTGTTTATTGATCAAATGCGGTTGACGTATTGTGCGTCATAATATCAATTTAAGGACACATATGATGACATAATTATTCAATATTGTGATGTATTGATCAATTTAATTATTTTTTAGGTATTATGTATTTATTTATATTCAATGAACACGCACGAGAAGATTAAATATTTATTTTATCATAGTTATGAATTCCAAAACTAATATGTGAAATTTCTAATTTATTAATGTTTGTTTATATATATATAAATATAAATATAAATAAATTGATAGAAATGTCAAAACCACAAAGGCCGTCAAATAGACCACCCGTGGGACCATAATATGGTCCAACATTTATTTAGTTATTAATAATCTATTGGCCAATTTGATGTGCCACTATTAATTTTAGGCATAAAGAAATTGATTTATTTCATACATACAAAATAAACACATTGGTTTAGTGTAAATAAATGATAATTTTTTGGGCAAATTACGAGAATCTCCTTGAGGTAAGGGCTGATTACAGAAATCCCCTCCATGTTTGTGTAATTACGAAAACACCCCTCTAACTTGAATTTATCCGTGTATTCTAATATGATATATGTACGTTAAGTTACTACTTTCAAGAATACTAAGGTCTCGTCGTATTAGATTAGATTGGATTAATTTTCTACTATAACCAATTTATTATTTAGATAGTAACGTATTTGGTTAATTGTATTTGATTTATTATTAAAATTGATAAAATCTAGAACTATATACAATTTTATGACAACATCCCTATTCAACAATAATCATATTCCAATATATGTTATTTATGGACAAAATCGTCTTTTTATATTTAGTCATCTTATATATAAAATAAAGAAACGTTGGGCAACCCTAAAAAACCCTAATGGTGTTTCTGTAATTATTTATTTTTAATATATTTTTCTACTATTTTTTTGCTATAATTTTCAACAATTATCAATCTCCTATTTTTCATCAATATATCTCAAATATTAAGAGATAAATATAGAAATTCGATTTGTTAAATCTTAATCTATGTATTTTGATTATAAATCTTAATATGCAATATTTAAAAAAACTAATGTTATATATAATACGAATAATACTACATTATTAAATTCTTATGTATTAAATTGATTACTTTTTTCACTTTTCAAATAATATCCCGTGCATCTCACGGGGAAAAAAATGCTAGTTACTTACAAAATTAAAAGAACGGGTAGGGAAACTACTAATTTATTGGATAATAGCAATTAATTGTGTGCTTCAATTTTTATAACAAACTTCATTTAGTTTGAATCTTGTCAATCAAACATGTTACTAAGTTTTATTATGTAATCAACGTGACAATAATCGAAGTCTATATTTTAATACATCCGTTTCATATTATATATTGGAAATTTTATAGAGTTTTTAATATTATGTTTGATTTTTATTTTTATTTGATTAATATTTGAATTTAATTATTAAATAAATAAAGCTCAAATAAAAGTATCAGTGTGCTAAATTCTGCATTAATCCGTACACAAAAAGTACTTCCCACATTAATATTACAAGTAGAAATTAAAAAAGACATTATTTATAGCTAACGGCTTCACAGGGAAACCCACACAATAAAGCACTCATTAATATTAATAATTAGTATTTTTTCAATTTTCCATTAACCCAGCGTTATTTTATTTTATTTATTTTAAATAAATATTTAAATTTATGGAGGAAAATGATGATGGGCCTTTTGTTGAAGCCTGTTAAACAAATTAGGCCCAATTCCGGACATAGAAACAATTTTTTTTTTAATTATTCGATTTCGATTACAATTTTTTTTATTTTTTTTTGTTTTTGAAATAAATGATTTCCTTCCAATTTCAGAAATTCCAAATTTCGATCTCTGTTTTTATTTTTATTAAATCGGAAGTAGTATATATGTAAGAAAATAATTGGAAATTCTTTTTCCGATCCGATTTAATTTTCGAAAATATTTTGAAAATTCCAGATTTTTTCAAGAATATATGTATATTAAAAAGCTTTCTATCTCCTTCGCTTGAAAAAAATGTCTACTATTACATATTTATATTTTAAATTATAATAGATGTAAATAAATATTCATAAGTTAAGTGTAAAATATTAAAGTTATATATATGATAATTAAAATTCTTTACATTATTAAAATCCCATTTTGATTGATAAATGATATCTTTTACACAAGAAAAAGAAATTCTTGTGTAATTTTTCTAATAAAAATATGTTTGTAATTCAAGTATGGAAGTAATACGATTTTTCAAAATTTTAAAATTCAAAATCAATTTTCAATTTTTGAAATGTAATTGGATTAAATTTTTACTTTTTTAAATATTGGAAGTAAAATAAGTATTTAATTTATTTTGTATCAAGTAAAATAAGTAATATATTATATATATATATATATATATATATATATATATATATATATATATATATATATATATTATTTATAGGTGAATTTTTTGAAAAATACGGGAAATTTTGGAATCAATTTTGGAAATCAAATCGGATTGAAAATCAGAAATTATATTTTTTATACATATAATTCTAATTCTAAACCAAAAACAAATTGGAATGAAAAAAAATTATTCCAAAATCAGAATTTTTTTGATAAAAAACCAGCAGAAATTAGAATTTTCGTTCCAATCTTCCCCTATTATCAGATAATAGTAAGAGACTAAGAGTTGAGGCATGCAAAAAGCCACATGAAAATTGAATGTGAACATTAATAAATGGGTAAATTCCACTTTACCCCCTCGTACTCTGCCTGAGAGTCACTTTACCCCCTCGTACTCTCAATTTTATCGATTTACCCCTTGTACTTGTACAATTTCCCAATACAGCCATTTTCTTCAATTTTCGTCAATTTTGACTCTAACGCCATTTGGTCAACTCTGTAAATTACAAAATTGCCACTGCCTATAACGCGGCGTTTCTCCTCCGTCAATATTGTCATTTCTTCTTCTCCCACCAGTTCCCCTTCCAAGATATCCCCAAATTGAACCCCTAACTTAGTAAAAATCAAGACCCAAAAATTGATCGATTCCACCCAGTGCAAAGAAAAAAATATATGAATGTGTGAAACTTTCTCTTTTCTAATCTCGAGAGTCAAAATCGAAAAAATTCAATATTTACGTCAATATTTTGACTCTTGACCAAATGGCGTCAGAGTCAAAATCGAAAAAAGTTGATGAAGAGGGTTGTATTGGGAAATTGTACAAGTACAAGGGGGTAAATCGGCGAAATTAAGAGTACGAGGGGGTAAAGTGGTTCTTGGGCAGAGTACAAGGGGGTAAAGTGGAATTTACCCTTAATAAATATTGTGAATATTTACCCTTATTCCAACATGCTTCTTGTCCTAATCACCAATTAAAAATAATTGTGAGTTGTATTCTTTTTATTTATTTATTTATTTATTGATAAGAAATTGTGAGTTGTACTCACGAATCAAAAATAATACCTGAATGAATTGTGGAATATTCCTAATAATGGAATGGCCTAATGTTAGTGGCTCACCACCTATGCTAATATTTTAATTCCAACAAATTAAATGGCACTATTAGGGTGGATTTAGTATTTTAATTCCAACAAAATAAAATTCAAATTAGTATTTTTCTTTTTCTTTTTTTTTTTGGTGGGGGTGGTGTTGGGGGTTTGTTGTTCCAATTATTTTCCAGAAAAAGTGGAAGTTAAATAAAAATTTATAATCAAAATGGAAAAACTATTCAAACTGAAATGATAAATACATGACGACTTCTAGTAAATATACGATATATTTTAATTTTATTTTTTTATCTTTATTATATCCATTTATTATAAATTGGGGTTCTTAATTCATTAAGTTAAGTTTAAAAAATATCATCTAACTTGAAAATTGAAATTTATATTTGTCCTCATAAAGTTAGATTTAGATGAATTTGTTGCATCAACAAATAAAATTTTATCATAAAATATTATGTCGTTGCGTCGATGTCATTAACTTTGCGTGTGCTACATTTCATATGTGAATGTTCTCCCAAAATAATATCGTTGAAGACTTATAAAAAAAAGAGCTTTTGAAAAATTAAGATAAGATAGACATTAGGCTTTAAATTTTCAAACAAAGTGTTTACGCTTACTAAAATTCGTCGTGTGATATTCTTTCAAAATAATGTTTTTGAAAACTTCTAACATTTGATAAAATAAAATGGGATATATATTAGCTTTTGACTTTTTAAGAAAAATACCAACATTTACTAAAACTCGTTGTGCATTTATTACTGCCCATTTGCGAACACAGAAATTTAAAAGTTGAAGATTGGTGAAATCCGAAACTTCTTTTTAACATGATATAAAATATAGATGTG